TTTTTTTTTTTTTTTTTTTTTTTTTGCCTGGCCGGGCAAGTGACCCCCCTAAATTTTTGTTTTTTATAGTTAGTTCTGGCGGGGGACTCCATGCGCAGGCGATGTGCGCGCCCCGATTTTCGGCGCGCGGCTCCGCCTGCGCTTGGTGTGGCCGCGAAAAAAGTCGGTCACGCGGCCTCGGCCGACTTCCCCGGCCACGGCCGTGGGGGTCACGTAAATGCACACCTTTTGCAAGATGGACCTGACAGTGCTGACACCGTCTCCAGCACTCGCCATCTCGACTGCCCGGTACCGCGTGCGTAGCACTGGAGAGAAACAGTCTGGACAGCAGCTAGCACACGAATTGAGTGTGTCACTGCTCAGTGCTCACAGCATGTGGTGTGCTCAAAGTCCACCGACTGTCACCTTGTCATCACCGGTCTTGCTGGAACTGCGAGGCGGACAGCAGCACTCACAGTCTATCAGGTGAGGTCACGAATTGAGTGTTTCGCTGTGCACAGCACGTGGTGTGCACAAAGCCCGCAGAGCATCACCTTGTCATCACCAGTCTTGCTGGAACTGCGAGGCACACAGCAGCTTTCACAATCTATGTAGGTGGTGGTCTTTGGGCGTAAGAGTGAGTCGCGGCGGTGATGCGTGAAAAGGACAGTGGAGGAAAAACTAGTAAAAAAAGAAATTATTATACAAAATACAAAACGAAAACAGACAGAATATCGTGATTGTTCAATATCTTGACAGGACATGTCGGTGACCACCAATGAATCGGTCGACAATTTCCAAAACATAATGACGATCCGGACAGCGAAGTGCACATACAACGTTCATTGAGTGTGTCGACAAAATGCCAACCGTTTTTGACAGACACCAGCACAATGAAGCGGGGGGGGGGGGGGGATGGGTAGTTCACAGTAGGGTGCAAAATTATGAAAGGGTTCGACTGTTTTTGGTTCGTTTGTCGTCATTTCAGCCGTCCGCATGTCGTTAACAGTCCATGGCAAACGGCAGAAAACCCCTGCACCATTCCAGTGTGCTATGAAGCGACATGAAAACAAGAGAACATATATCATTGAAAAAATAAATAAAAACGAAAGAAATACACATACAAATATGAAACTACAAACATTCCACACGATTCGGCTTCAATGACAATGACATGACATCCACACACGAATCACCTGATGTGCGACACACATCACTTCCCGAGCGACAATGACGTCACAGTGACACACAAACGTTTCATGCGATTTCAAAAATGTCAATGACATTACCAAATTGGAAGTGACACGATTTCAAATTTCACACCTGCTGTTGCGTCAGCAACGGTGCGTTTCMCCCCCCCCCCCCCCCCCCCCMMCCCTGCAACCCCCTGCAACTACACGAAGAGTGCAACCAAAACAACCACGTCAGACCTTTTAAAAAGGCCAGACTACGACGATGCCATCTCCCACTTCCCCCCCGCCATGCCACCGGTGGACGAGTCCGCATCCCCCCCGACTGTCCTACATACACGTTCAGCGATCCAATCGATCTCACGGCGGTTGGTATCCAGAGATCTCCCCGGATTCAAGCATGGTCGTCCATGAACGGCCGCACCGGCAACTCTCCTCTGGCCATGGGAGCAGACTGCAGATTCCGCTCCTTGCTGGCAGAAGGACACAACAGCACTAGCAACAGTCCCTCCGCTCAGAGAAGATGGACTGTCCATCGACGTCAACAACGTTCGCCCCCGGGCCCCTCCTGGGCCTTGCGAACCTCCCCCTCCAGGCTCCAACATCAGAACCCGTGCATGAAGGCAGTCAACCTCATCTTGCAGCTCTGCAACAGTGCGTTCAGAATTCGCCAGCTTGGATGCGACGACGGCCTCCCTCAAGTTCGCATCATCGACATCGCCGCACATTCACTTCAGCTCCGCAACCATCGTGTGCACACACTCAAACAGGACCCCTCTCTTTCTTGCGAGCTCGTGCACGTTCTCTGTCATTCGGCGCCGAATCAGGGGTGCATGAGTGCAAAGTCTCCAGCCATGTTGAGGACTTTGTCGAGAGGATTTTTTGCAGGGGAAGACGTGGGTTCCATGCCCGTGGCTAGAAAGGAGTCCTGCACAGTGCACGCACAGAACTACGAACAAAAGCCAAAAAAAAATAAAACTAAACTCGCACATCACAGCCAAACAACACACTAGCCAACTATCACATGTTGGCATGGCGTGTTGGGATCCGACCATCTACAGCAGCCGCATTACAATGCCCAAATCCGTGCGCTGACCTCGTTGCTCATGCGGTTGACTCTCCTCGCCCCTGTCCGGTCCACGTCCACCTCCGGCCAAGGACCCCGTCAGCATGGTGAAGCATTGGAGCAAGGCGCTATTGTCATCGGCCATCGTCTTGTTCAACCCCTCCAACGCAGTGACGAAAGTTCCCGCAAGCATTTCCGCATTCTGTTCGTTCAAACTGCCAACGTCGTCGCAATGTCGGACATGGTTTCATCTCTCCCACCTGCAGCCAGGGAGTCCAACCTGCTGTGTCGCCCTCCTCCTCCGGTACGCTGTTACTTCGACCCCTCCGACATGTCACTCTTCGCCCGCCTGTGTGGCACAGTTCCCTTGCTCACCCCCCCCCCCCTCCGTCATCCGATGTGACAGCGTTGCTGGCACCTCCATGAACATCAACGGAGTTCACCACCCGGTCGCAAGACCCGGAAGACTTCCTCAACTTCCACTGAATCGCATCCCAGCATTGCTGTTCATAATGCAGGGGCAACCCGGTCTGCTTTCTCTCCTGTTTGTCCACGTTTCAGTAGATCCGCTCACCCGACCGGTTATGGAAGTCCCTGATCTTCGTCACCTGGTCCACAAGAGCGTAGAACTTTCTCTCGCACTCCCCTACCAGCATTTCGCCAAGCCTTGATGCACCATCTTCGACATCGCTCACTCATACCTCTCTTTCTTCCCTTTCATCTGTTGCCTTCTCGGCTCTGCTGGTGTGCATAGCATCCTCTTCCGCGAGGTATCGCAGCAGCGCCAACATTTCATCCAACCTCCAATCATCGCCCCGCCACTTTCCTTTCGCAGCAGTCTCTCTAACCCCACCGGCATTGCTCCCCCTGGCCATTATCTTACCGCCTTCTCCTGTCTCCCCCGTACCTGCAGTCGCCATCCCCTGCACTGCCTGTCCACCACCGGCCGCTGTTGCCTGCGTCCCGGCAATGTCCTCCACAGATCCACTCCACACGTCCTGCGCTCCTGCATTGGTGGAGGGCGCCGACTGTCCCCATCTTCCATGGCCTGCGGTGAGAAGTCCATGCCATCGGGCGATGGGGCAGTGCGGGGGGCACTTCCCCCACCAATTGCCCCTCTTTGCGTCTCCGCCGGCCCGCGAACGTTGACGTCCAGGTTGGAAGTCTGCATTGCCGCTCTACCATCTTCGCCCGTGACGCCCGTATCGACTCTCCCACCTGTAATCGAGTCGTTGAAGGACATCGACCACTGCATACGTGGAACGTCGGGCTGCTCATGCGGCATCCCCCACCCCATCGACGAGGGAAAAGCACTCGGAAACGCTGATTGCGGTTGGGCACTTGCTGCCTGGCCCATGAGGGAGGAGAAGGACTCCTCAGCACGCTGCTGCAGCATGCTTGTGTACGTGTCCGACCTTGCGGTGAGAACACATTTCGGACGGCCCACTGTGGAAGTACCTTGAAAGTGGGCAAAGGGAGGAGACCACCGGGCAGAGAAGGGACCCGTGGACCGGCGCTGCGCCCCCCTGGCCATGCTCCACCTGCCGAGATCGATGGCGGCACATCTCCGGTCGGCGGTCGCAGATTCCATGCGGGACGACAAGGCCGACGCGGACAGACTTGGGTTGCGGTTCTGTTCCATACCTGCTTGTCGTGCACGACGACAAAAACTGGAAAACTGCTGCCTTGGTTGCGGACGCCAGCTATGGAAGCTATTCCCTAGATTATGCCAATGGCCACGGAAACGACTGATGTACACGTGCTACCACGCGCGCTTCGTTATAAAATATTCAAAAACGACGAAGCGCACACACAGCACTTCAACAACGGCTCCTTTCGCACCCCAACGGGAACTGCCACAGAATGCGTTGCGAGAGTATGGAACAACGGCGGGCCCCATAATGTCGCACTACCGGGGAAGCAGCTCGCCCATGTCGCACTACCGGGGAAGCAGCCCACCCACGTCGCAAGGTGCCCTGCTCCACAGACGAACCAGGCGACCACGGGCAGACATCAACAAGGCCGACTCGTTTTCGCGGCAGCTTTCCCGGTAGGGGTAGGGGTCCTCGAGCTTTCCATTTTGTGTAGCACCGTTGGGCCATCCATCACGGACTACACGCATGCACATAAACCGAAAACGTACCCCTATCAAAGCGCCGCGCCCGAGTACATCGGAAAGTTGTGGGATCCGCGTTTCTCAACAAAATTGCCCACTTTACGCACTGTCGGATCAGAAGCTTTCTCCACCTGTGATGGGAAAGTGGTAAAATCACCCCGTGGCAAAACCTTGGTATTTGTTTGCGCGCACACAAAGCAGCAAGTGAGCTAGGCCCTGAAATGACCTTTCATGTCAATTTTTGCACCCGGTTAGCCGGTAGGGCCGGCAACCCTAGGTGGACAGAGGTACAGAAATAGGGAGGGAGAGAAGTTGGAGACAGTTCACATCCCGGCCAGATGAGGCGGGGAGGCCCCGGGGTACAGAAATATGGCGGGAAAGAAGTTGGAGAAATTCACATCAGAGGAGGAGGGAATGCCCCAGGGTACAGATTTATGGCAGCAAAGAAGTTGGAGAAATTTCACATCCACAGGAGGTGAGAGATGGAATGTTTTGTTTTTTTTCCCCTTTATAAATAGGAAGATGTTGGTGATGTAGAGGAAGGGGGAGAATCTTCGTCCCCAGCTTCCTTATTCTTTGAGGAAACTGTGGCTGTGAGTCTGTGACACACTTTTAGTTTGAAATAGGCAAGGAAAGACAAAGTGGCGCCCGTATGATGGTGTGAGTTTCAAAACGTGCAAGTTTAGCAGGGGTCTAAAACTGCGCCAGGACCCAGGAGCCGAGCTCAGTGGGTACACCCATGAGCTGTTGAAATATAGACCCGAGTTCGAATCCAGGTGATGGAACTTGATGAGAAATAAACAACAACTAATGAATTGCGTGGGGCTGGTCAGCTCAATGATAATATCTCAAGGACGTCGACAGTCATTACCGGCAGTGGGGCTTGGCAGATTTAGGGTCGCCCTCTTTTTTTTTTTTTTAATAGTGTGAGGAATGTGCCCTCAGGGGGGCTTAGACAACATGCATATGTTCTGGATTGTGGCAGCAGTAGGTCGGTCTGATGGAAAATTGAAGTCCATTCTTAACCATATGGGTTTTGGAGAGGTTGATTGTCTGCTGTTTCTTATCTTCCGAACTATGTGGTGGAGGAGGTTGGCTCGTCGGGAGATGAGGAAGAGCAGGGGGTTGCTAGGCATAGCAGGCAGGAAGCTAATTGTTCTCAGACTTGTTCAGAATTTGTTTCTGGACTGATTACTTTCTTCTCTCCCTTCGAACTATGTGGTGGAGGAGGTTGGCTCGTCGAAGGGAGATGGAAAGTTGAAGTCCTATTTCAAACCAAAAAACGTAGTTCTATTTAGATTTTTCTAGTAGTTCCTGGTTCGTTTTCATGCAAGTTCTGATGGAATTTTCCGAATGTATTCGTGATGGGACGCTGGGCCCGGTTCCCAGTTTTGTGCCAACCTGTGAGGAAAAGTTGTATCTATGGGACGCTGGACCCGGTTTCCAGCAGGTGCTGCTCCCCACCAATAGACAGAGCTTGTCTTTAAAAAAAAAAAAAAAAAAAAAAAAAAAAGGTCAGTCTGCTGAATAGCACTGGGGTAATGTGGTTTTCTTGATGTTGGGTCCCGAATAATCTTAGTTGATTCTCACTGTTTTTAAGCGAAGTCTGCTGCTCTCGGTTGCTCCCGGTGGTTTTAAGATTGCTCTGGGATTCTTGGGGCTCCTAGCAACTCAATGTAGGCTGTTCTGATGTTGTTATGTTCATGGATCTGTGGCTGTCCGACGCCAGAACAACGCGGGCCGGCGCTGGTGTTGCTGTGTAACCTGTTGATAGCAGGAGCATGAGGCCTGGTAGAGAGATCTGGCGATGCTTTGGGGTGGGCATTCCAAGGGACAACCAAGGGTTACTGTCAGGACGATGCTGGCCGGAGCTGGGGTGAGTCGTGTTGCCTTGTAACCCAGCAGGATGGGGGTGTGAGGCCTGGAATAGCCCGACAGTGCATAAAACAGGGCGGAGGGTCGTGAAGGGTTTTGTTTGGGGTCCCTGGGGGCTTTGAGTATTTGAAAACCTCTGTGGTGCTCCGTCTGTGACTATCCCCATGTGTTTTCAGGATTCTTTAGCCGAAGCCGGGTAATTGCCCCGGTTTCTCAATTGTTTCCCATAAAAAAAAAAAAAGCCCCCCAGCCCTAAGTGAAGGCGGGCCAGAATATTCACGAGGGGTCCTTATCTCAGCATTTTCCAATGTGGGTCTCAGACAGTTGCTGCACGCCAGTTGGTTGAAGTGCAATGTGGGCCTCAACTTGGGCTCTTCCAGAAGAAGCAGCTGTGTCAGGCAGTTAAGCCCAGGACGCAGGTATTTGTGCCCTGGGCACACGCAGTGTGAGGCCGACACATCACGAAGTGGCCACAGGCCAATGGGAAGGCAGCATTGCCGTCACATCCAGCTGCGGGCCAATGCAAACACAGTGGACATTCAGACCCTGGATAATCCTGGGTGTGCCAAACTGCAAAGGACCCAGGTCCTCAAGAGTAGATATGGGTCTGGGCACAGACACCGGGGCCTGACCGGAGGCTACTGGAAACTTCCACGGCGAGGCCCAGACAGTCCAGCAGCAGCAACCTCTCCCGTATAGGGAGGAGGCCAGCCAGGCCAAGGAAGTCTGGCCTGGGCAGGCAATGCGGACACGTTGCTGCATTAGCACACAAGTGCCTGCATGCGGTACTGCTGGCTGGGGCGCGCGCGGGCGCTGAATGGTGAGGGACGCTGCAGGGCAGAGGGGCGCTAGCGGCCATAGCCGGGCTGCAGGGTGTGAGGGCAGGTGAAGGGCAACGGTGGTCTTCAGGAGGAGGCGCAGGTGTGGGTGGACAGGGGATGATGAGGGGAGTGGAGAGCACTTACCTGGTGTATGTGGGAGTTCAGCATTGGTGTTAATGTCATGTACATTGGTCTTCACAATCGAAATGAGCCTATTGCATGAATGTAGATAGGCTAGGTAGGACGAGTGGACTCGGAGTAGGCTGGGCGCTGGGCGCCAGACAAGAGGAGCGACATTGAATACTACCTTGGTGTGGCCTTAGGGCTTGCACATTGGCTCACAAGTTCATTGCATTGCTGTTATTTGGATGGAATCTTGGTGCATTTGAGCTCTCGGCTTGTTACAAGACTATCTGGACTTCTGCGTGATTTTGCAACTTGGTTTTCTGCATATCGCTCTCGCTCATATTCCTTGCAATAGGGACACTCCATCTTCAGGTGGGGAGCTGCACTTGCCGGAAAACGGGTCCAGCGTCCTATTGATGAAACATTTGTTGATCCTCGGAGAGCTTGCTGGAAATCGGGTCCAGCATTCCGTAGGGGATTTTGGGATTCCGAAATGGACAGCATTTTCTAGGGTCGCCTTTTTTGCTCCATTTCGGGAACTGCTGAAGTGGGTGTGACTCCAACATACTTGCCCCTTTTTCTTTTAAGGGATAACTTCAGAAAAGTGCAGTTTCATTGTTGACCTTTTAGAAAAGTCACCTTGAGGCAGAGAAGGCAAGGACGGAAATTGAAATTATAGAAACATTCGAATGGAATTGTCAGGGAATTTTGGAGCCAGTGGGGAATTGCCTCCGGGAGAAGAGAGTGGCAGGAAAGGCGTGTCACATTGCTGTCCACATTGCTTTCCCCTTTAGTACCTTGAGGCAGAGAAGGGAGCTTTTCCGTACGAAACGTACAGGTCAGGAACCCATACGGGGTAAAAAAAAAAAAAAAAAAAAAGTTGTCAAAAAAATCCGAAAACAAAATATGTGCTAGGACAGGCTGAGCACAAAACAAGCAACATTTGGCTGATTGTCATCTGCAGATTCTTATTATAATTTGAGAAACAAAAACAAAAAAAGTTGTACCGGCCCCTAGCGTACAAGTAGCGTACGAGTACAGGAGATTGCATACTCTTACGAGGGTGAGTACAAGTCAGAACGTAGAAGGGAGATAGCAGTCCCGGGCCATTCCTCTTTTTATGGACCCGTCCTTCCTCCTTTGCCACCCTCTCCCCCTTTGTCATCCCCCAACACCCCCCAGCCCCCCTCCCCGTATTTTCTTCGTCTTCGTCTTTTGGTCCAACTAGTACTTCAGAGGGGCTATATGTGCATGAATCTGGCCAATCATGCATGTTACACTCAGCTCCACCTAATCTATCACAGATTTCTGGGCAGATTTGTTCTAAAATAGCACTCGGTGAGGGTGCAGTGCCACTGTTCAAAAAGAAAAAAAAGGGTGCAGGTCTGATTCCGTCTGAACATAAAGCACCATCTATGAAATTATTTTTCCCACTGGCAGTTTATGTGCTCCCACCGGGCTCCGTCTTGGGGCCTTCTCACCTGCACTGGTGCATTTCCACCTCGTTGGCTGGACTCCTCTGCTGGTGTTGGTTTTTTTGCCTCGGGGTACATGGTACCTGTCAAGCAAAAGCAAACCAAGGTGGACGCCGGGCGGGGACTCCCCCAAACGGAAAAGAACAAGAAAAGAAACAGAACAAAACAAAAAGGAGGCGGGTACTCCCCCAAACGGAAGAGAGAGAAAAAAAGACACGGTGTCCCGAAATGGAAATGAACCTTTTTGCAACAACAGGATTCAGGCTGCACTTTCTGCAGCCCGG